AGTAGACAATATGTGGTAACAGTTAGCCAGGGATGTTATAGATGGTATCAGAGCCGGTAACCGAACTGTTTGCCCGCGAGGGTTGGGAACCTTAGCTTAGAGGACCAGCTATACTACTAGTGACTTAGATCTTGTGAGAAAGGAAATCAATATTCCTGAGTTAGAAGAGCAAGCCTCTCGATTATAAGAGACTGGATACCTCATCTATCATACGTGTTTTAAAACCATGAATCCAAGTGTGAACATAACAGATAATATATGGTACAATTAGTCTGGGATCTTGAGAATGGTATCAAAGTCGGGAACCAAACAATGGGCCAAGAAAGACGTTGGGCTCTCAAAAGGGGTGGAACATAAGATTCCACATCGGTTGGGAAGGGGAACAAAGGTTGCCTTATAAGGGACTGGATACCTTCTTTATCAAACACATTTTATAACCGTGAGTCCAGATGGGAAACAAAGCGGACAATATATGGTACGATTAACCTGTGATGTTACAAAGAACGTAATCATTTAAAATGTGAAAATACGATGTTTTTTTTACTTTTTWTTCTTCTACTTTTAAGACACAAAACTATAATACAATTAATCAATCACTAWYGTGGGCGCCACACGTTTCGTGGTAGTGATAAAAATTTTAAACAAGTATTCGACCGAGTTAAAATAAAACTTCTTCATCAGTTAATACTTAATAATAAATGAGATACAAATGAATATATTTCTTAAAATGGTTAATTCACTTATATTGGTAATCGTTTGTTGTTACATAAAGTTTGAAATGCACCACTAATAGTTTTCTTATTATGTTATTTAGAACTCAAATAACATTCCAATAACCATATCGCCATCTGTTACAAAGTGTATGAAGAAATAAAAATCCTAAACAAAGGGTTGGTTAAACTTAACCAACCCTTTGAGCTTCCACGAAAAGGTATCATCTCCTCTCTTGTCAACATATACTCACATTTTGCACACGATTTTCTATTTCTGCATCAACGTGCAGTAACCACACTTAGCATATTGACATGTCCCACAACCATATCACTATTTCTTTATGAAGATTTCAGATACTGTTTTACCAAAAAATCAATATATGTTCAGATCTTTCAAACAACTTTTTATATTTTCAGATTTAAGAAATAATTTACTCTTATAATGTCACATCGTTACAGATGATTTGTTAGTTTAATATATTTATTGATGGCTGGTTGAATAGAAGAAAATTCCTAATTGAACTCTAATAATTGATGCATTGAACTTAGGAAAGTCCAAAGATGATAACTCTCTCCCTCTTTATGGTAATCAATCTACATCATGGTAACTAGTAATAATTTCTTTGAACATCTATTTAGGTTTTAAAAAGGCATCTTATCTACTTGTTATTTCTAGACATATTTACTAATTATTGTTACTTAATATATTTTTATAAGGATGAATGTAAGGAGTTGTTTGTTTACATCTTAATAGTTTCATTAGGAGACAGTTTTTGAACCGTTAAGAAGTGAATCTTGTTTGGTAAAGAAAAATGTATGTCTCTTAATGGTTCTAAAACCCTCTGAATGATTTTGAATCATAGACTTCCTTTAACCTATTCAGTACTCTAATTCCATTGTAAACAATTACCGAACAATTATATTTTTTTTACATTATATCATGAAAGTCTCTTAATAATTTTAATCACTTAGGGGCTGTTTACCAAACGCTTACTCGGGTAAGTGCTTACCAAATCACATTACCTTACAGGAAGAATATGGCAAGGACCAAGAATCTTACCCGGTAAGAACGAGCCAAGGACCGAGAGTCTTATCCGGTAAGTGGGGACGATGACTCTTACCACGATTAGCGCTTACCAGGTAAATTGTTGTATCTAATGTCGTTTCGTTGGACTAAAATCTTACCATGTAAAAAAGTGATAGTGCTGAATTTTACTGGTAAACGCTTATCGGATAAGTGTTTTGTAAACGGCCCTCTAATCATTCTGCACCAAACCACTTAATGTTTAAATGACTTTTTATTTTTGGAAAATAATCATATTTTATTTTTGAAAATAATCAGTAATAAAATTTAAATAATTTTTTAATTTAAAGGTAAAATCAAAAAGTTTATTATAGGTGAAAATAGAACTGAAACAATGATTTTTGCTTAAAGTTTATAGGTGAAACCGAATAATCAAAGTTTATAGGTGAAACCAGAAAGTGTAACAATTATTTTTGTTTAAAGTTCATAGGTGAAACCAAGAACCATAATTTTTATTTAAAATTCATAGGTGCAACTAGATAATTAATGTTTATAGGTGAAACCAGAAAATGAAAAAAAAAAAATTTATTTAAAGTTTATAGGAGAAACCAAAAAATGAAGCAACGATTTTTATTTAAAGTTTAGAGGTAATACCAGAAAGTAAGTTCATAGGTGAAACAAAAAAATTTAATAGGTGAAAGATTTAAGTGAATGTGATATTTAAGAAATATAATAATTAATTGAATAAAATGGTTAAGGAAATGTGGTATTAATAAAAAAAAAATGCCCTGATTAACAAAAGTTGTACTATTTATTAGGTTAATAAAAAAAAGGGAACATATATAAGGTTTGGTTCACGTGAGACCGTTTTGATTTTGTAAAATCATCTTTTTATATTTGAAACTTCACAGCAAAACGATGTGAAGGTAACCTTCACAATATTTTTTTTCACAATGTTTTTGTTGTGAAAGTTCGGTTTTCTTTTACCTTTATAGTATTTTGCTATGAAGTTTCAAATGTAAAAAAATGGTTTCATTGATCTCATGAAAACAAGTTGGTCTCACGTAATCCCTACACCTCTCTCTCTTATATATATTAATATATAAATATTGAAAAAAAAAAGATTCGGACAGAATATTCCATCCAAACCATTGTTTGGGATAATCCAAAAGACGTGGTTAAATTTTCTAAAATACAAAAGAATCTCCACCTATTTTTTAAATCAAATTCGGTGAAATATAACAAAAATTGGAGCAAACAATAACGACACTTTATTATCTTTAAATTGACATATATTACTTTTCCAATGTTCTTTGATTCTTTTTTTAGATTATCTCCTTATCTCACTGGCCACCACCACCCATCACCTCCCCTGAGCACCATGGCTCACCCTCCCTTGACACCCACGCACACCCCTCCAGCGTCCCACCTCGTCCATCTCCTTCTATCTTCCTTCTCGTAGTTAACTAACCACCCGTCCCCTCATGGCCTCATCGTCGTTAGCCACATTCTTTGCATCTCGAACTCCATGAGTCAATCGATCATCTCCATCTAAGCCAACACACACATTGATATAATATCACCATCTATGTCTCAAACACACGGTCATCCTCAAACACACACATACACACATTGAAGCCGAAATAGATAGCGTGTGTGTTTTGCAGAATGTGTGTTTTAAGGTCTTGTACATACATTTTTTTTCCAAGAGGTGATATTTGTAGGCTCATGTGTGTTTGCTTCGCCATATATTATGTTTTCGGCATGTTTTTCACCGGATGGTTGTGGGTGTTCAGTCATCATGGGAGATGGAGGAGATAGGGGCGGACCACTCTATTGAACGGGCCACCGTTTCTCCATCATAGTGTAAAAAATTACAGGGTCATGAAAGATGTCACCATATCAATTTATTGTGTGCCATCATATATATTTAAAAAACTACAATGACAAACACAAGTTTCCTTGGTAGAGTTGATATGCATTGTTTTTCTCTTACTAATGAACTAACCAACAGACCCATGATGGTTTTGTGAAAACATCAATGTATTTGTTTCTTATAGTCAAATTGTACCACCACCTAGAAAAAATTATAGGCCTACATCCGGGATGAGAGAGAGTGCATTCACGACAAAAAGACAAAAAAAAATAATCTTCATTAGGGAGGGCATAGGCAGGTCGGTTTTTGTACAATAACTTAAAAATGTTGGTGAATTATAAAAGTCGCTCCAATAGAAACTCTCGTTGCATTACAACAAATTTGGGTTTATAGGACACCCCCAATCTCTAAGTGTCCCAATAGACCACTTTATAGGACTTAATTTATAGGACCAAAACATAAAGTGTCTTATTTAAAGGCGTTGTAATAAGTTTATATGACACTTTTGGGCGTCTTAATAAGTTTTTAAAGACATTTTTAATAAAAAATGTCGTATTAGCAACTTTATAGAACACTTTTGAGAAAATGTCCTATAAACTCAATTTTTTATAGGACACTTTTTTTATATGACATTTTTTCAAATAGTGTCATATAAAGTTGATAATGAGACGCCTTTATATTAAAAGTGTCCTAAAAAAATTATTACGATATTAAAAAAACGTCATATAAACTTAATACAATACCATTAGATATGATACTTTAACTTTTTTGTCCTATAAAGAGGTCTATTAAGACGTTTAGAATTTGGAAGTGTCCTATAAACCCGATTTTGTTTTAGTGTTGGTTGATGGAAATCGTTTTGGTGTTCTCAATGTTTACTTTTATAAAGTGTAGACATACTAGACATTTAGAACACACACTAAAACACAAGCCAAACACACACACAATAGGATCCATGGATGAGATGCAGAAACCTCATGCAGTATGCATACCCTTTCCATCACAAGGCTGTATTAACCCTATGCTAAAACTAGCCAAAATCCTCCATTCCAAAGGCTTCCATATCACCTTTGTCAACACCGAATTCAACCACCGTCGCCTCCTCAAGGTTCAGGGTTCCGACATCCTCAACCACCACCCTTCTTTCCAATTCGAGACCATTCCTGATGGTCTTCCGCCACCGGAAAACTTAGACGCCACCCAAAGCATCCTGTCGTTATGCAAGTCCACATCCGAAACCTGTTTGGAACCTTTGAAAACCCTCCTCGCCAAACTCAACGACACCACAACGATACCTCGAGTGAGCTGTATGATTTCCGAAGGTGTAATGAGCTTCACACTCGATGCAGCAGAGGAATTGGGGATTCCTAAAGTTCTGTTTTGGACAACTAGTGCTTGTGGCTTATTGGCATTTGCACACTATACCACTCTAATGGAAAAAGGATTCATTCCACTTAAAGGTACTCRGTAACTAATTTTTACATTTGCTTTTAGGAAGTGGACTTTYWGTTCTTGATTTTTCTCTAATCATGCGTGCAGATTCTGGTGATTTGACCAATGGGTACTTGGATACGATCGTAGATTGCATACCCAGCATGAAAGGCATACGCTTGAAGAACATGCCACCTTTCCTGAGAACCACAGATCCAGACGACTTCATGGTTAACTTTGTGATCCAAGAAACGACCAGAGCCAAGAAAGCTTCGGCGATCGTGCTCAACACCTTCGACGATCTAGAGCACGATGTATTAAACGAGCTCTCTTCAATTTATTCTAACATTTACTCGATCGGGCCATTGCATATCCTCGAAAAGAATATGGTGAACAATGATTTGCAGTTGTTGGGTTCGAGTCTCTGGAAAGAAGAGACAGAATGTCTGGAATGGCTCGACTCAAAAGAATCTAATTCAGTTGTTTATGTGAATTTTGGAAGCATAACCGTGATGACACCCGAGCAACTAGTTGAATTTTCATGGGGACTTGCTAACAGTAACCAAACCTTTTTATGGATAATCCGACCCGACCTAGTTTATGGAGACTCGCCAATGCTGCCACCAGAGTTCTTGGCGGCTACGAACCATAGGGGGTTCTTGACAAGTTGGTGCCCTCAAGAAAAGGTTCTGAACCACCCATCAATCGGAGGGTTTTTGACACATTGTGGGTGGAACTCYACCATGGAWAGTATATCGAATGGAGTTCCATTGATTTGTTGGCCGTTCTCAGTTGAGCAGCAGACGAATAGTTGGTTTAGCTGTAATCAGTGGGGCATTGCGATGGAGATTGATGGTGATGTCCACAGAAAACAGGTTGAAAAGATGTTGAGGATGTTAATGGTGGAAGAAAAAGGTAAAGAGATGAGAGGAATGGCTAGGGTTTGGAAAAAAAGGGCTGAATCCACRTCAGCTTTGTTGAATATGGATAGCTTAATCAACCAAGTGCTTCTTGGATCCTATCCTAGGGTTCGAGTGGTGACAGCATCTTCATAGGGCTCCAGCCTC